GGCTTCCTAGGAAAATATCTGTTGTCCCGTTGAAGAAGGGGAAATTGGATGTCAATCTTTCTCTGACCTAAATACAGCATTTGACTGTAAACTTTGGTGGAAGTTTAGGGAGCAAAAATCACTTTGGAGTTAGGTCTTGCTAGCTAAATACTGTAGGATCAGTCATGCCAGTGTTGTGAATCACAGCTCTCAAGATTCTAGGATTTGGAGAAGGATGGTTAAAGCCAGAAAATTAACTGAACCTCATATTGCTTGGAGAATTGGAGAAGGTAAAATTAACTTTAAACACGATGCTTGGCTTAAGTCCGAGATTGTTCAATGGAGATTGAAACAGGATATGCCTCAAGATAAGCTTGTTTTGGATTTCAGAAACAACAATGAATGGGATACTATCTTACTGAATTCCATTCTACCTGCTGAAGTGGTTAATGAAATAGTGAAGATCCCGGTCACCAAGATACCTGATAAGATGTTCTGGATACATAATTCTTCTGGGAAATTTTTCATCTCCTCTTGTATTAAACTTTTCAGGCAGGGTAAATCAGAACAATTGGCTTATAAACATATTTGGGATAAAAGCATTCCTCAAAAAATTAGTTTTTCAGGTTGGAGGCTTTGGCATAATTGGTTACCTGTTGATGACATTATTCAGAAAAAATTTGTCATCCATTTAGCATCCAAATGTCAGTGTTGCAGCAGTTCAGAAAGTATCAAGAAATTAGAGATAATCATCCCAGAACTATACTAATGCTCTGGTTCCTACAGAAGAAAGCAAATCCGGGTGAGATCAGAAATGCTATTCCACTGGTTGTCATCTGGTTTCTCTGGTTGGCTAGAAATAATGCGAAGCATAAACACTATGCAATAAGGGCTGACATGATTATTGAGCAAGTTTATATCCTGATCTATGCACTAATAAAGGCAGGCAGGATGCAACAAAATTGGGAAAATCAGGTACAAAATACCTACAGCAGTCAAGTGGATTAAACCTGATACAGGTTGGTATAAACTTAATACGGATGGGGCTATGAAGGATGAATCCCAGGCTGCAGGCGGGGGAACACTGAGGAATAACTTGGGAAATCCAATTTGGGGATTTTATGAATATCATGGAGAAGGCTCATATTGGAAGCTGAACTTAGAACTATGGAAACTGGGTTGAAGATGTGCTGGTCACAGGGAATCAGGAAAATATGGGTAGAGTATGATTCTAAGACGGCAATTACTTTAACTAAACAAAACAATGGTCCATGAGGAGTCCAATACACACTGCAATCCATTAGATGGCTGTTGGAGAAGATGGAAAACAAACTGACTCATACTTGGAGGGAAGGCAACCAAGCTGCCAACTGTCTTGCATCTAAAGGCTATGATGATAGGAAGTTTAAAGTAATTGAAGCTAATGAGTTCATGGGGAGAATCAAAGGCATTGTGAGGCTAGATAGAATTAGTATGGAGACTATCAGATTAGTAGCTTATCTTGGTTTTGCATATTGTATTTTAGCATAGCTGCATGTGATGTAACTCATTAGTAGTATTGTAGAGATGATGTACTTGTGGAGGTAAGGTTCATTTGTCCCCCTCTTTGCATTGTAATTTGATTTTTCATGAATAAAATCATATCCTACGCCTTGGATTTTCAAGCTAGGATATTTTACCAAAAAAAAATTATGATTATGAACGAAAAACATATGGAGGAAATTATGAATTCATGTAATTTGAATTTATTTTTCATTTATTCTAAAAAATGTTAAAATGGAGAAGATGATAATTACGATAGATTTTTATGGAAGAAATATAAGAAGTGAAAAAAAAATTAAATGTTCATTAATAATCATCAATTCAAGTCATATTCTTATTTTATATAAATTAATCATTATCTATTCATATAAAAAGAATCTGAATTTTGACTTGAATTTTATTTTATTTTTAAACTTCGATCTTTTAAAAAATATAATATTAAAGTACGATAATTTTGATTTTTTTACATAAAACTTTGTGGAAATTACATCCAACCAGATTTTTCAAGATCCAATTTCAAAAATCAGATCTAAAGTTTGTTTATAAAAAAATCATATACTAATAATTTTCTATATCCCCTATCTTCCATCCAAATCCTAAAATTCCCAAAACCACAAATGACAACCCACTTCTTTCTTCTCTCTCCGGTAGTGAAGACAAAAAAACCTGACAAAACTGATACTCACGAGACCCTGCCCTGAACGAGATGGGGATAACCCGCTTAATCGGGTATTCGGGGATGAGAATTTTGACTCGGGCGGGGACGAGTAACGAGCGCCCCGCCCCGTTAAAATATTTTTTATCATTTTTATCATTTTCTTTTTAGAATTCAATACTTTAGATGAAAAATTTTACAAAATTTCATTAGTTGTAATAGAAAATAGCAACTAAAATTATTTGTCTAAATCTAATGAATATGAACAATAAAAATATATTATCAAAAATTTAAAAAAAAAAATTAAAAATTTAATGAGTAGTAAACGAGGCAATGGCCCGCCCTGCCTTAAAGGGGTAACGGGGCGGGGACGTGGCGTGAAATTTCTTAGCGAGACGGGGGGGCGAGGAGGGCCCCTCGCCCTCCCCGCCCCGCCTCGCCTCTCCTCGCCTCGCCCCATTCCTTTGCCATCCCTACTCTCCGGTGGCTCTAGCGGTTCTGATAACAACATCGACGCACTGCTGTATACGACTTGACACATATATATTCTTTTTCTTCTTTTTTTTTCAAATTTTTTTTTTTGAGATGGTGGTATTGTGGTGTTGTAGCGGTTATGGTGTGTTGGTTTTATGATTATGGTGATTGTATTGCTGTGTGTAGTGGGCGCCATGGTGGCACGGAGCTGTGGGTACTAAGGTGGGGTGTGCTGCAGGTGTGGGAGTGGGAGTGGTGGTGGCTTTGTTGATGGTGGTGTTGTTATTGTGGTGGTGATATAGTTGTTGTGGTGGGTTGTGTGTCGTGTGTTGTGATTGATGCGACGGTGATGGAGGCAGTGGTGGTAGTGCCCGAGGATAGATTTGTGATTTAATTTTTTTGTGGGGGTTGTGGTTGTGAAGTGGTGGTTGCTGTGTTTGAGATGATGGTTTTGCTGCCTGGAGATGTTTGCGGCGGCGATTTTGGCGATGATATGGCTGGTGGTAGTGGTGAGGTGGTAGTCACAGATTATTTGGTTGTTTTGTCACCAAGTACAGGTGGTGGATTGGGATCGGGGGTGAGGTGTTTGGTGTATGTGACCAATTATTTGATTAATTTGTAACTAACTATTTGGTTATTTGAAACCAACCATTTAATTGTGACCTAAAAAATTGATAAATTGTGACTGAAAAATAATTTGTGACCGACGAATAAACTATAACCTATAATTTTTTTGATTTGTAATTGTGAAATAATCTGTAATCAATTAATTTGATAACATGTGACTAATAAATAAGTTGCGATCTATATGTATATATACATGTGATCATTAATTGTATAATTGTGATTTAAATATATTTAATTAATAAAATTTATTTATTTATTTATTTATCACCTAAGTTTTGAATTTTGAAACTCAAAATCCAAAAATTGAATTGACCATAGATAATGCCCGAGTTGTGAATTTTTCCTTGGAATGTTCCAGTTACAAACGCGAAGTCCATCAAGTAAAGCCCATTACATAAAAATTCAATTTCCAAATATAACCCTAAGGGGCATTTCAGTATTTTCACATATGAGTCCCCTTGTCTATCCCCACACCCCTCTCGATCTCGTGTCTTTGGTTTTCTTGCACACAAAAAAACGCACACACAAATAGAGAACGAAGAAGGAAAAAATATCGCCCTAATTCGATTCTTTGTCCAATTAATTTGTTTATCGAAATAAAATATTTTGTATTCTTTTCCATATTGTGTTTTTTGGTTACTTAAATCTTATTGTTGTTTGTGTTGTGATGAAACTAGGGTTTCGTATCTCCACACCTTCGTCGTAAAGTGTGGGTTTTTTAATTGAAGTTCCTACGCTGCGAATCGTGTCGTATCGTAATCTGTGAGTATAAATTCAAATATTGTTTTTGTTGTTCCATTTATTATTCTTTTGATTTGGATTTCCATTTATGCGTAGAATTGGTAAAAAAAATCATTTTTCACAAGAAATGGAATTCATTTGGGATTATTGTGTGAAATTAGTGAAGTCTGTTAATAAAGTTATTTTTTGGGTTAAATTTTTGATGTGGAGAATACCCATCAGTCTCTTTAGCAAGCTGTATAATTTCTTTTCTTTTGGGATTAGAGTGGTGTTCTCGAAGCCAAGTGAAATTATGTCTGGCTGATGGTTTGACAGAGCATCTAAATTTTGGGGGTGGTTATTAGAAAAATAATTACAATTTATTGGGCGAGAGGAGGGGTATAGCATACTGTCTACTTGTCTGATTGATAAGTAATATATGATATAGTGGTTCTTCAACTTAATCATAGGTGAATAGGCAATACATTTTCTTTAACAATCCTAGTGTAAACTAGGAGATGTGGAATTGGTTATATGGTGAAGGGAGTTTTTGGGTTTTTTATTTCTTACTTTTACCTTTAGAAAAATAGAAGCTTACAATTTGTTAATTTTGGATATACTGTCTTTTTTGTCTAAAATAATCTATACTACTATGTGCCATTGTGCTGCCTTCCTTCTTATTCCCTTGAGGTCACACATTTAGTGCACATGAAAACATTGGAGCTTTTGGGACTCTTTTTAGTGTTCTTACTATCTCTCTTGGGGGAATGTTCTGTAATTTCATCATCCTTTTTTTTTTTTTTTGGTATAATAAATAGTTTGATGTAACTACTAATTATTATTTCCATAGAATGCTTTTCAATACTCTGTTCTATTGATAAATACTGTATGGTTATCGACCTGTTGGATTGTTGTTTTACTGGTATTTGAAGCCTTCTTTTAACATTTATTTATTTTAATCAGGTTAAAATTCGGTTAGAAGGGTAATTTAGTAACATACAAGATGTCTTCACCATATGCCGTTCTTGGCAATAGGCCAATTGATCAATGGAAGGTCACTGAGCTAAAGGAGGAACTGAAGAGGCGTAAATTGACAGTCAAGGGGTTGAAGGAAGATTTGGTAAAGCGGTTGGACGAAGCTATTCGCAATGAAAGTGACAGTTCCAAGGGAAATACTGATAGCGATTTTGATATTGCTGTCCAGCCTGAGTTGGAGTCTGAACAAGCTATGACTGAACCATTTGTTTCTGAAACTGCTAAGGATCTTAAGGACACTGGAAACAACTTTATTGAGAAGGTAGATGGCGGAATGTGCGAGATTGAGGTTGATGATATCAAAGGAACACTGGATAAAGGAAAAGTAGAAGAAGAGGAAATAATCCATGGAAGTGATTATGTTGGGGTGGAAAGGGAGCAGGCTACTACTTCGGAAACCAGTGTCATGGTCGATAGGCTTAAGTCCGTGACAGCATTTAATGTGCAACCCTTAAACAGCAATGAAACAAAGAACGAGAATGGAGATTCAACTGTACAGATGGATGATGATGACTTGAAGTCTTCTCAGCAGGATGCTAAGCTGAACCTGTCTGATTCAAATAGTCAGGTGTCTGAGGTTAGTGAAAGTGGGGTGTCTATGATACCTTTGGGTGGGTCAAATGCTCAAAATTGTGAAATCCCGACTGAATCCAGGAAGTCAGAGATGCAGCTTGAAAATGATGGCTTGAAGTCGCTTCAAATGGATGCGAAGCTCAACTCGGCTGATATAAACTATCAGGTATCTGAGGTCAACTCTGAGTTAAGGGTTCAAGTAATTTCTGATTCTGTTTCTACTGAATCTGTCTCCCTTACTGAGAAAAATGAATTAAAGGTTGATTTAGTTGCTGATGATGTCAAATTCATAGAACATAAGCCTGAAATGGTGCAGTCGCTATCCAGCAATGTTTTCCCTGATGGTGGTGAATCCTATCCCATAGATGAAGAGTCACGTGACAACAAGGTATCTGTGGAAGAGGCAGGTGGCAGCAATGTTGAAAATGTAGATACTCTCAAGAAAAATAATGCTGGAAAATTGGGTTCGCGTGAACAGTTAAGTTTAGACCAAACATCTGTCAATGATTCCATGGAAGAGGATGTATTGGAGAGTAAACAGATGGATTCTAAATCTAACTGTGATAAAATGAGAGAGAGAGGTGATAAAACTGAAATGCCAACTATGAATTCTAAGTCTAACTTCGATGAAATGAGAGAGAGAGGTGAGAAAACTGACATGACTGTTGTGAACGAGGAAGATTGTGTTGATGTTGTTGGTGATGATAACGTAGCTGAGCCTTTAGATAACAATGTTGGAAGCAAGAATGAATCTGCTCCTACATCCGTTAAAAGAAAATCTATTGGTAAGCTTCATTAAACCGCGATTGTTTTCTACTTCATTGCTTACGATGTTCTCATTTGCTTAGAATATCATTAGGCTCATACAAAACTCTTCTGCTTTTGGTTTGTGACTGATGTGTCGTTTGAAAATGTGGTCTCTTTGTAGCTTAGATAATGTGAAAGAGATCTTTAAGATGGTAAGAGGTGAATTTATGATGATTGTATAATCTCTACAAGATGTCCTTCCTTTCAGTTGCTTCTAATTTTTTTCAGAAACTGTATCAGAGGAGAAGTAACATCAGGAGCTGGGATGAAAGATTTATATGTCAATTTATGTTTTTATTATTTGGGAGGTGAAAATGACGTGATATGTGAAACTTAAGCTGATAAATAGTATAGCAATATATGGCTTTTACGTTCTGGAGAGCTATTAACTCTGTAATTCTTATCGTTGAGGAAGTAACTGTCCTCACTTTATGTTCCTCCTGTCTTCAAGTATCATCAAACTTTTAAAGTTTCACTAAAGAGTTCCTTAAAGTTAAGACATTTAATACAATTGAGTGACTGAATTTAGGAGTTATGCTTTGTTGAGTTTTGTGGTGCAAATGGCTGTTTTTATGTAACATGTATGTTTTTCATAATGTCATTACAAAAATTGAACTTCGATCGGATGCGGGTATCAACTCCGGCCNTTACAAAAATTGAACTTCGATCGGATGCGGGTATCAACTCCGGCCTCTGAGATGTCCAGTGGATTCATGGGTCTTGACGAATGGCTGGACAACTTTTACGTTAGAAGAGCTCTTCCCAAGTATTCTTACCTTGTAGCTACATTTCTCTATATTAAGGGTGGGTTTGAACCTTATTTTTTGGGTTATTAGATTTTGTAATAGTGATTTTTTTGAGAATGTGGTAAAAAAGTAGGGAAAAGTTCTGACTTTACATGTAAAATTATTTTATTTGGAGAATGTGGAGTTAAAAATGAGTTAGGGGAAAAATGATTTTTGTAAAGAATGAGGTTCAAACAGGGGCTAAATAAATTAATTTGAAAAAACACCATGCAAAAATTGTCTGGTTGACCACACAAATCAAGCTGTTGCATAGGATTAGGCACTTTGTTCCAAAATGTTATCTCTCTGCTTGAACGCTGTTATAGAATATTTCCTTTTTAACTATTGATGGCTTGAAAACTCCAGTTTAGCAGTCACACTGCGATTTCTGCAGCTTTTATGGCTGCACCTGCCGTATGAAAATTATTTAATGAGATCACCTTACAGATCAGGGAGCAGTTGGAAACAATGACGTTGTAAAGAGGCAGCGAAGGTGGAACTCGGAAGCCCTTAAGGTTCCTGAACCGCAAAGTGGTAATATAGTGGGTTCTATCACACCTAAGGATCCATTTAAGCCTGCTTTCAAGCGCAGCTTCTCTAGATCTGACTCTACAGTCAGTGAAGAAACGCCAAAGGAGCGTGTGGGTAAGTTATCATGTTTCTTCTTGTATCTTGTTTTTGATAGCATCACTATATTCTCTGAACAGAATTAATATGTTGTTTTTGGCAGTTCCACCATCAGCAAAGCCTCACACGACTGCTCTCAGAATTGATAATTTTCTGCGCCCTTTTACTTTGAAAGCAGTTAAAGAACTCCTTGGAAAAAGGGGCACAATCACCAATTTCTGGATGGACCACATCAAAACCCATTGTTATGTTTCTGTATGTTTGGTTTCTCTCTCTTCTCCCAGGACACTGTTTCTATTCTTTTTTTTCGGAGTCTAAGTTGATATTTAATGGTGCACCAGGTTGAGAAAGTGTACATGACCATTTTACTAGTTTAAATATGAAGATTTATCAATTTAGGCATTTGTTTCTGAGCTGGTGTACATTCATTCATCCATACATACACCAGATAACATGTTTCTTTGTGTATGCAGTATTCTTCTGTTTAATGGTGCACTAGGTTGAGAAATTATACATGACGATTTTACTGGTTTAAGTATGAAGATTTATCTATTTAGGGACTTGTTTCTGAGCTGGCGTTCATTCATCCACAGATCTATGGATCTCATAACTAGCATTTACTTTGTGTATGCAGTATTCTTCTGTTGAAGAAGCTGTAGAAACTCGTAATGCAGTATACAATCTCCAGTGGCCTTCAAATGGGGGACGCTTGTTGGTAGCCGAGTTTGTTGATCCTCAAGAAGTTAAAACACGGGTAGAGGCGCCTCCCCTTTCTCCTGCAACTCCTTTAGGCAGTGCTCCTAACTTCTCTCCTGCTCAACCCACTGTGCAACTCCTTCAGCCTTCTCCACGCCAACAGGTTCAGAGGCAGCATCTTCCTCCACCACCTTTACTTCCTCCTCCACCGCCGTTGGCTAACCTACTCCCCGCCAGGGAACGCCCACAATTAGAAAGGGAACCCCTGCAAAAGGAACAGCCACTTCCTGCAAGGGAACGACTTAATCTTCCACCACCACCTCCACTTGCCGAGAAAGTTGACCCCCCAATTGTCACTTTGGATGATCTCTTCAGGAAAACTAAAGCAACCCCACGTATCTACTACTTACCATTGTCCGATGAACAAGTTGCAGAAATGCTAAAGGCACAAGGAAAGAATGCTCAGCAGTAGAGATTAGGCTGTACTTTCAGCAAAGCTCCTCCTTGATTTCTAATGGATCGGTTAGTATGTAAGATAATGGTTAGAAGTATCATGTAATTGCATCTTTGCAGGTCTGCAGGTGTTGAATGTAGGATGTTCCAGTTACCTGAGATGCTGTTTCCCAGTTTGAAGGATTACAAACAAGATTCGAGTTGAAGTTAAGTTTATGCATTGCCTTGGTCAAGTTACCATTTCTGGGTTGCATTCTGCTCTTTGGCACAATCACTTTCTAGATCAAATTGGTATTGCCAATTTTTCTATGCCCCTATCAACATCCGAAATTCCAATTGGTGAGAGACATTTAAGAACATCATCTGGTTTTGTACTTGAATTTAAGACGGAGGATAATCATTATTATTATGTTGCTTAAGGATCTCTCGCTCTCTCTCTCCCCCTCCATCTCCCTCCTCTTTTTGCTTAAGTTGACAATGAAGTAATTGAGGGCACCATATTGTGTATTGTGTCGTTGAATTTTGAGACAGCGCATATTCGTGCATGAAAGGAGCGGATAGCATTTAATGGGATTTGATTATCATTCTATCAATTCGATGGTGATTTAGGAAAATGCTTGTAAATCATTATTTACAGATTTTTTTTACAGATAGTTGAGGTAGCAAAAAGAAAGGGGGGGATATTTTTTTTTATGTGGTTGGTGAAATTGACTCAATTAAATCGTCACATTATTTGTTAATAAACAAATCATGCAGTACAATCAATGAATATACTATGGTAATTTTCAAGGACCAGACCAAATTGGAATAGTTTACCCAACAAAGGTTAGGTAATCTAAGAGAAAAAAAAATGTGATGTACGTTTTGTTAGTGCCAAATATTCTTTTCTCAAGTTATTTTATTACTAGCTACAGTAATTCTAATTGGACGTCCCCTCAACCTATTGGTTTACACTATGATGTGTGAAAGTTCATTTTTTTATTGGGTCGGTTCATTTTTTTTATTGGGCCAGTTCAACAAAAATGCTGCTAATCAGAACAGATTAAAACCTGATCCCAGTTATTCAAAAAAGGTCAGAAAATTGCTGCGGTTTCTCTGGCCCCAAAAAATTGAAACCTATCACCAGTCGAAAAAGGTGTCGTCGGTGTATCAAAGAGTTCATTTTGAGGCAATCACCAGCTTCATATATTCGAATAGATGAAGCACAAAGGTAGATGAACTTTGTTATTTCATTACCAGATCTGAATGGCTATTTCATTGCCTCATTTTTCTCTGTTAATGTTGAGTTTCATTTTTGTAATGTAATGTGTTATTTCATTTACCAATCTTTAAATAATATTTAAAATTAGCACAATGTACATACCACTTGCAACAACTGGGCTTTTTCCTTGCAACAAAGCCAGCATATGCTTTTTCTTCGTTTCAACCTTCCTATCTTGAAAAAAAATCGATTTCCTCGATCCTTGATTCCACGTTCCCCATTGGGATAATCAAAAGGATTCAATGCTGAATAACCTCTTCCAGGTAAAGAAAAATAACCAGTTGTCCTATCCTCAGTCCAAGCAGTTGAATAGCTTGTTTGATCAAAACTTTCAAATGCAAAGCGAGATAATTCAGCATGTATTTCTTGCACCACATGGAAATATCTTCACCCCAATAACAAACGTAATGTGTTATTTCAAGTTTTGGAAATAGTTGATTTATCTAAGTTTCTTTATCTACAATTTGTGAAACGTAGATGATTTCAATTCAATATTTGTTCCGTCAATTACTTGTAACATTCTTTTTTTTTTCTTTTTTTTACTTCAGGCAAAAAATTTTTGGAAGAGGTTGATGACGTCGTTCTATTAGAAGACGAAATGACAACATTTTCGACAGTGCAAACTTCGTTGATGATGAAATTGTAGTAGTAGACAATGTCATTGTGCCAGAGGTGGGAATGAAGTTCAATGATGAAGAAGAAATGTTTAATTTTTACAAAAGATATGCGTACGACGTAGGATTTCCAGTTAAAAAAAGAAATTCGCGAAAGGATGATGACGGAGTTGTGAGATATGTAGTGTTGACCTGCAGCCGTGAAGGCCGAAAAAGTAGTACTGCGAGTGGTTCTTTAAAGCCGCAGGCTATCGTTCAGACAGACTGCAAAGCCAGGATAACTGGATCTGTAGATGCATGTGGAATATGGAGAATAAACACAGTCAATCTCGTTCACAATTATAAAACAAGTCTAGGTTGTATTGTTGCAACCGAGAATTGAGTGCCCACATTAAACGACGACTTGAATTGAACGATATGGCAGGATTCTGTTGCACAAAAGTTACAACTCTGCAGTTGTAGAGGCACGGGGGTATGAGATTATGACTTGCGAAACCCTGAGGGGTTGCTCAATTGGTCAAATCTTGGGTTTGCTCCCCAATGGTTACTAGTTCGAATCCCCACGGGGCCACTGAGGTGAGTATTTGGTCGTAAACTTTAACGCGCAAACTGGTTGGACATCCACGGTTATAAAAAAAAAAGATTATGACTTGCGTGGAAAAAGATTGTCGAAACTATGTTGAACATGTGAGGTTGTTAAGACTCGAAGAAGGTGATGGCGTTGTAATACAAGCCTATTTTTCTAGCATGCAAGCAAAGTGCTCGGGTTTTTACTTTAGTGTGAATTTAGACGAAGAGTTGAGGTTAAAGGATATTTTCTGGGCAGATAATAGGAGTAGGCAAGCATATAAGGAATTCGGTGATGTTGTGACATTTGATACAACGTACCTAACTAATAAGTACGACATGCCGTTTACTCTTTTTGTTGGAGTTAATCATGGACAATCAATACTCTTTGGTTGTGGGTTGGTGTTGAACGAAAATACAGAAACATTTGTATGCCTTTTTAAGACTTGGCTTGAGTGTATGCACGGGCAAGCTCCTATTGGGATTATTATCGACCAAGACAAGGCCATGCAGAATGCTATTCAGATCGTGTTCCCCGAACACGAAACACAAATGGTGTTTATGGCACATAATGAAAAAGTTGCCAGAGAAATTTGGATACCACGTCGAAAAGGGTGAGATCTTTTCTGCGATACACGTACTAGTATATAATTCTCAAACTGTTGACGCATTTGACGAAGGTTGGAGCGCGATGGTGAACAAGTATTCCTTGCATGATAATGAGTGGTTGTCGGGAATGTATGCGAACAGAGGCTAGTGGGTACCTTGTTTTTTAAAAAGCAGCTTCTGGGCTGGAATGTCAACAACTCAGCGTAGCGAGAATATGAATGCGTTCTTCGATGGTTATGTGCACTCGAAAACGTCTCTGAAACAATTTGTGGAACAATATGAAAGAGTATTGAGGAATAATGTAGAGAAGGAGTTTCAAGCCGACTTTAAATCATTCTCACAAATGATACCGTCTGCAATGAAGTATGAGTTGGAGAAACAATTTCAACAAGTTTACACCATTTCAAAATTTCGGGAAGTTCAGGATGAATTTATTGGGAAGGTTTATTGCGACCTCATATCTTCGTCAGAGGGCTTTTCGGGCACAACCTATGAGGTGTTTGAGGATATCATACTTGAAAATTGGGTTAAGAAGCAGAAGTTTTTCGTGACATTTGAAAGACAGAAATGCGACATTGTCTGCAGTTGCCACTTATTCGAGTTTCGAGGTATAATTTGTAGGCATGCGATCTCTGTACTTCTCTATAATAACATCACAAGATTACTGGACACCTATATATTACGCAGATGAAAACGCGTTGTTTGTAGAGCCCATACCAGGGTCACAGTGAACTATGATGGTTTGAGTAGTACCCCTCCCAGTTGAAATATTACAAGATGTGTTAGTCATTTCCGTTATATTGCGGAGATGGCTACAGATGACGATCATCGATTCCACGAGGTACTGGAGTGGATAGAATCCAAAAAGTTCTTATTTAGCACAACATCGAGTTCTGGAAGTAATTACATGTCCCAAGTTGGTGGAGCGTCGCAACAAAATAGTAATTCAGGTGTACAAAATCCAAAATGCTTGAAGAGAAAAGGAGCGCTGAAGAAACTTGAAAACAAAAGCCCTTTGGAATTAGCATTCATTACTGCAAAGGTATGTGACCAGTTTTTTTAATAATACGGTGTTATTTATAGTTATTATCTGTTGATTATGCAGTCACATTCGATTTCAACTAAGGGAAGGAAACAGAAAAGAAGCCCAAGTAAACTAGGAGAGGTCGAACCGATTGTACAGGCACATGATCAACTAATGAATGAAGATATGCGAGCACAACTCTCATATTCACAGCTTCTAATGGTTCGTCTATTTCGATTCACCAATGTATTTGATTTCCACATTTTTGTTATTTCATGAAATTTGTGTAGGGTGATGGCGACAGTTATGTATTTACACAACAAGGAATGTCTCCAAATTTCTTCTCAATGGCTTCCTTATTCAATGGTCAAGGTATGCAGTTAACCTTAGTGAATTTATTTCAAGTCATACTCTAGTTTGCGTAATGAATTCATTAATTGATAATAGGAAATTCAATGTCGTACTATTATCCAAATGCATCTCACCAACGTAATGGAAACATTTGATGAAGGCTTTTTGGCAAATGTCTTTGAAGCTGCATTTATACCTTTGTTAATGCCTCTGTATTGAACTGCACGTAGTGGGGAATTTGCATTTTTATATGGGTGAGGCAGCAGTGATAGCAGCCTGTAAAGATGGAGATTGGTGGCAGTCGCAAACTCATGGGATGTTGGTGGAAAATTGAATATTCACTTAAGTTAGTGAAAGATGCTGGTGGATGCTATCTGAAGTGGAGATGATTTACAAAAAAAAAATTACTTTTTGAGGAAGAGACAATTATCCAATGATCTAAAAACTTTTAGTTTTGTTATTACTGTGTCTATTGGCAGCTTCTTAAGATTTTGAGTTATTACAGCTTTTTAAGTCTTTTTGAGTTATCACAGCCTATTTGTGAAGCTAAAAATTTTCAGTCAAATCAAAATGCAATGACAATTTCATATACGAAGGCATCGGCACAAGGAAATCAGTCTGGAAACAATAAGAATTTTGCAATAACACTAACATTTTAGATATATAAGCAGTGGATTCGCATTACAGATTCTTCCTAAGCATATATTACACAACAATCTTCACTTCACCAACTACACAACAAGTGATACATACTAGACCTCAAAAGTGGTAGGGAACCACACAGCTAACAACATAACTACTAGTCAAGCAGGTCCCTTCCCCTTCTTATCCACTTTTGCACTTCCGTTTGCCTTGCGTATTGTCACATTCAACGAAATCTCAATACTTTTTTTCTTCGGCTATACGACAAAATGATTCGAACAAGCGAGAGAACTGTTGAACTTCTTCGACTAGCACATGATCATTTGAGTTAACGGTAATGCTACTCGATCCGCCATTGGATTCTCCTTTGTCGACCCATTCCCAATATTTACAATTAGCACTGCAGCAATTGAACATCCGACCTTTGTTCTTCGTGTCCTTCTCGATCTCAACGCCAATTTAACACCAGGGGCATGGCTGTTTTTTCGAGTAGTCAGCAAATAAGTGACATTTCTCTCGACAGCTATGATAAAGTCCAGAGTTCTTTCCAGGCATACTGCACACGAACGAACCAGATATGATGCTACATTACAACACATCCATAGAACACTGTAAATTCTTCAAAAATATGTATTATTCGAATAAAAAAAATCGAGTAAAATGGATACCAAATACATAATGCTTACATGATTTATGTTACGAAATTCTGTCGGAGTCGATGTGTTTCTTTTCCTGTGGATAAGGTTCTTGGTTCTTGTGAGCTTTTCGAGGAGAGGCAAGTAGAAAATGAGCGATTTAATATATTTAGTGGATGCTCATCTGGTTGCACTGCTACTAGAATTCTGCGTGGTGGAGTTGATGGATGGTGTCGTAGATTGAAGTACCTACTGCACACGGTGGAGCTTCATTCTTCCAACTTAAACAAAATTACCAACCGTGCAAGTGTGAAATGTGAAGGAGTGCTGGAGACATTTGCTACATTAAGCATTCTTATTCCAGTTGAGAGATGGAGGAACGCCGGAGTTCGAATGATAGATGTAGGAGTACCAAGGGTTTTCTGATTTGGGAATTGGGAATGAGATCAATGGGGGTAGTGAGTGAAATTTTGAAATGGGCCGGTTCAATTCTGACCCATATTTGTTGGTTTTTTTTTTTTTTGGAATAATCAGGTGCTTGACACGTCACCATGTTAAGCGGCAAGTACGAATAGCGCGGTCGAATTTTCAAGGACCAGACCAAATTGGAATATGTTTACCCAAACAAGGTTAGGTAATGTCAGAGAAAAAAAATGTGATGTACGATTTCTTGTTAACGCCAAATATGGATTTCTCAAGTTATTTTATTACTAGCTACAAAAATTCTTATGGATCGTCATATAAATTTCAATAAGTATTTCTCATGTGCAACATATACATGAACGTCATATTATCGGTACATTCAAATTACGAGTTCATTGTTTTTAAAATTGATTATTTAACTTCTAAACTATCTTTGGATTTCCTTATTTTTGAATTCTCAGTATTCAATTATCTTCATTAGTTCTACCTTTCAATTCATGAAGCAAATTGCCGACAAGGCACTTTGATCCAGCTACCCCTCTTGTTGCTCAGCATTCAGTTTTTTGTAGGAAAATTGCTGCAACCCCTTCTCTTTAATAGCAACCGATTGTAGTAGCTTATTCTTGCACATTTAAATTACAAGTTCATTGTATATAAAATTGATTATTTAACCTCTAAGAGCATCTCCAAGAAATTCTTTAAACATGAGATGCTCTCTATTTTAAAGAGTCAACATTTAAAATCATACTCCAATAGACTCTTTAAATTAAGATTTTAATTTAGAGAGTGGGTTTGGTTCTCCAAAAATAATAAATATTTTTTGGGAATAGTAAACTTAAGTGTTAAATATAAAGAGTTTGTTGGAGTACANTTTTTAACTCTCATTCCCATCGGAGTCTCAACTAAAACCCTAGCCGTAGCCGCTTCGCCATGGTTGCTGCAAAGAAAACTGTATTTCTGTCGCTCTGTCTTTCATCAGATCTTGATCTGTTTTAATTTCTGTTTTATTTTCTTCAGATTGAAACTGTTATGATTCTTTTCTTTTTCTGATTCTCTTTGTTTTACAGAAGAAGACTCATGAAAGCATCAATAACAGGCTCGCTCTTGTTATGAAGAGCGGAAAATACACCCTTGGTTACAAGACCGTACTCAAAACTCTCCGTAACTCCAAAGGTTTTTTCTTTTTTGAAAAGTTGAAACAAACTTTATTTGCTATATTTGTCTTTTTGCAAATGTTGTGTATTTATTTAATGATTTTGGGGGAATTAATTATGACAGGTAAACTGATACTGATATCGAACAATTGTCCACCACTAAGGAAATCTGAGATCGAGTACTATGCCATGCTTTCTAAAGTTGGAGTACACCACTATAATGGAAGTAAGCTTTATTTTTTAAATAATTTTAATGCCTTGCTTGTAATAAGTACTGATTTGCCGCTATAATTTTACGTTTTTGTTGATCTGCTTGTGTTGGATTTTTCTTTATAATGAAAAAATAGTTTTAATCTAAGCATACCGCGTACCCTGGGATTTTATGTAGTTTTTGAAAAGGTACTTGTTTGTGACAAGTAGGCTTTTTGTTAACTCAAGGCAGAGTTGAAAGCCTAACTTTGTTCTTCCCGATTTCATGCAATTGGATATCGGTTCCTTTTGTATCCATTTAGGAGTGGTTTTATGCAGGAACGAGTTGGCAGAAAAAGAGCAATAATATTAACTTGGTATTTTAAATAGACGATTTTTAGGCTTAGGATATACATATCTGATACTTGTGTAGCTATATAAAATCTGTGCTATGTGGAGTAGTGAAATGTGCAATGTTTCCATTGTGGGTTTGGACTGTGAGATTAAGCTATGGGCCTGTGATGGTTAGATCTGAACAGCTTTAATAAGTCTATTAAATGTCCAGTTTTCAAGGAAAGTTGAAGTCTGGACTATGACTAATTGAAATTGGTATGTTTGATGACAAGTTCCTTGTACATTTTTGGATGGTTAATGCTATGAATTTCAAATCCTCAGCTAGATCCATTAACTTTTATATATACCCATTGATGGATAGAATCATCCTAACATGAGTTCTTGAAATCTTCTCATGGTCAGCAATTTGTGCTATTAGAGAACTATGGGTTTAAATCTCAGTCGAAATATCTTTTGTTATCCATGGTGTGTTTTCCTAAAACCATGAATTTGAATTCTTTCCAAGCTTATATCCACACTATTGTTGAAGCCATCTATCTAATCATAATTCTTAGAATTTGTGAAGGGAATTGCTCAACCGTGCGCAATCCCAAATCCATCTTTTACCTTTCTTGGGTGATTTTGACTTTCTACTCCAAAAAGGTGGGCAAATTAACTGGAAAACTAAAAATGGAAGTCAACTAAGTGTTGGGAATAAAGATGGTTGTATGACTCAATTTAGTGATTTTTTTGAGGATTGTGTATGAGACTATGAGTTTGGCGTAAAGAATTTGTTGAGGGATTGCTCAATTCCTCTGTCCCAAATCCATCTTTAACTTTGCTGGTGATTTGGCATTCTTTTCCCAACAAAAATGAGGAACAAGTTCACCTAAAACTGTAAAATGAATCAGATCTTAAGATAATAACCTGTACAACGTGAGCAATGTCTAGATATTAAGAGCTGTACTTGGAGATAGGAGTTCATAAGTTTCAGTTTGAGAACTGCACTTGTGAGAATTCACTACTTTTTGTTTGCCTGGCTTGTGCTGAAGTGTGTTTGTCTCTTTTTTTAGATAATGTTGACTTGGGAACTGCTTGTGGCAAATACTTCCGTGTTTCATGCCTAAGCATTGTCGATCCAGGTACCTCAAATTTATACTGCTTTAGTGTTTTTTTTCCCATTATTTTTGTCATCCTGACAATAATTTTACTTCTTTGCAATTTAGGTGACTCGGACATCATTAAATCACTGCCTGGTGAACACTGAGAAGTTTCTTCCTTTTTTTTTTCCTGTATTGGTCATTTTGGACTTCTTGAAGGTTTTCCTGTTTCTAAATGATAGTACACGACTCTTCGAGTTTTGAGAATTTATATATTTTAATTTTTGGTATTTTCCTTATTGGTTAAAACACTTTGTTTTCTTAACCTGGCTGGTGCCTGTCACAATTCCTATTTCATTATGCAATTGGACGCGATTAGTAGACGTTCAATTTCTTCTAGATGCCTAACATGATCTTAGCCCAACTTTTTTTTGACTTTTTTGGCATTACTGTGACCTCTTTGAATCACACCTAAAGGTGAATGGCGAGCGAATCCTCTTCGTTATACTCTTTGGATTGTGTTAAAAGTGAATTGGTGAGAAGTCTAACCCTGCACATAGCACTAGCCTTGCTAAATAGGTTTTCATGTGAAAAAAGTTGTGCTTGGTAATGTAAAATTATATATATATATATATATGTATATATATATATATATATAT